CTATCTATGAACGCAAAACACATATTCAAATCAATCTGAGGGTCCAAAGCAGTGAAGATCAACATGATAACAAATAAGTGTCATCTTGATCAATTATGGTAATATCAAATCAAACCCTGAGAAAAAAGATAAATGCAAAATAATGGCCAAAAGACATTGATGAATGCGACACAAAGATAGATTATTAATTTTGATAAAATTTTAAAAAAGACAATTGGTGGTCAACAACCAACATCAAAATCGATTTCGTCAACTTCTAAACAAAATCAAAAAAAGAAAAAAATAATTTAATCTGTAGAAAATGGTACAAATTGTAAAGAAAAGAAAAAGGAGAGGGGAGAGTCTTAAATTTTTGTTATTAACTCTTTTAAATAAAATTTATATTTTTTTTGTTATCCTCCAATTCCAATGTTTTGTCCTGATTAATCTGGATCGACCTAAATCGCATACCTGATTTTGGTAGGTGAGTCTTTCAGCAGAAATTTTCTACATACAAAATGAATCGAACTTAAAACCTTATTTAAATGATATCAAGTTGCTTATCACTTGAACCAACTCTCACCGATAAATTTATATTTTTTTATGGAAAGACAGAAAAAATATATAGTTGAAGAGAATAGAAGATGAGCCACACAAAATACAAAATCCTTGCAAGATTTTGATATTGTGAGAATAAAGGCAAAACAAAAAAGAACAATCATCTTCCACGTCCCAACACCCCACTGCCGATCAATCAATGAATCCTTATCTCTATCGCCTTCTTTTAGATTCTACCACCAAATCAAATTACTATGCTTTGATTCATCACACTCCTAAAGTATGTTCTCTATTTTCTCTCTGTAAAATATAAATTTTTACTCAGACTTTTTTTATTTTCTTTTCGTTACCACGCTATTATTTTTATAAAAAATATAATATGTTTCGATAAGAAGCTGTCACGTAAAACAAAGATAAAAATATTAAATAGAAAAAAAATCTGAAATAATACTAAGAAAATTTTAGTATTTTCTATTTTTAACATTTTTAATATATTTTTATTAAAAATAATCATAATTATGTTTTTTTAAAAATTACAGCTTCTATCAATATGGGACGAGATGACAATATTCACATGTTTCTTCTATTTAAATATAAATATTTAACCTAACTATTTAAAATTAAATTAAATAAATAAATTTTTTTTTATAAATTTCAAATCTATTTTAATCCTACTTAGAGAGGGAAGAGTAGACTCTAGAGGGAGAAATGATGATGCTCCGAGTGGGTCTAAACCACATGACCTATGAGAATATGAATGAACAAATATGAACACTAACCGAATAAATATATTTGCTCAATAAAAGTAACATTATATCAATAGTAATCTATTTTTATTTTAGGGTAAAATATACAAATAAACCCTCAAGGGTATTGTTTCGTTGAGTGTCTCGATTATAAAAAATTGTAAAATGATTCCTAATTATAGGATACTACTTTGTTGAGTCACCCAATTATTAAAAGTTACAAAATGACCATTTGACTATTTATATGTTCTAAATTCATCATTTTCTGTTAAAAAACTGACAGCATCCTGAGCTAGACGTCAATAGGTTTACTGTAATATGATAAAATTTGATTCCAAAATTTCAAATGACTATCATATCTCAGTCAACATATTAATATTCAACTCACACGATCGCTAATTTTTTAATAGAAAAAAATGAGGTTGGAACATATGAATAGTCGGGTAATCATTTTGTAACTTTTAATAGTCGGATATTCAACAAAGCAATACCTTATAATCATGATTATTTTATAATTTTTAATGATTAAATAACTCAACAAAATAATATTTTATAATGGAAGGATTATTTATATACACTTTATATTAATGTAGTATATTTTAACCATAAAGTGAATGGCTCGGTAATCTTCCATTATTCAAATTTGACCTAACTGAACCGAACGATATTAAGTCATTCATAACATGTGAATGCATTAAAAAGAGGCAGAAAAACGGAGGGTTTTGTCGGTCGTGAAATGAAGGAATCTGAAAAGAAGAATCAAATGAAGAAAAAAGAAGAAAAACCAATGAATTCTGTTTAATTTCTGGAAGCCACGATTCCTTCGTAATGGACGGGTAAGAACTAAGAAGAGGAGAATCTTTTCCCCTGACCGATTCTATTTATCTATCCATTTATTTATTATAAAAAATAACAATCAAATATAATTGAATTGTCAAAAAGAATCGTTCACATGCCTCTGCCGCCTTGTTTTTCTTTTATCATTATCTCCATATAAAAGAAGAAGAAGAAGAAGTTTTACTTGTCAAACACACCAAAAGACAACCTTCTCTACCTTTTACTTCTTGCTTGTCAATTATCAATTCCTATTTTTATTTATAACAATCAATTATTAAAAAATTATGTATAAATAAAGAGAAACTATGTATTAAGTTATTCATCTATTTTTAGAATTTATTTTAGAACTAACTGTCTTTTTTAAAATTATATTTAACATTATGTTTTAATTTTGTTTTAGTCTCTCGTCGTTAAAAAGTAATGAGAATTGATGACGTGATTATTTTTTATTCCTTTAATGGTGATATAATAATATCTTATGGTGACACATTAATATCCCGTTAAAAATTTAATGACGGATAACTAAAACATATCATTATGTATGATTTTTTTAAATAATTGGACTGAATAAAACTGTGAGAATAATAGTGTTTAAATACGTAATTTATCTTATAAATAATTGTATTTATTTCATGACAATGTACAAATTGAATTAATATGAAAATATTGCGTATCTTTACTAAAATTAATGTTCTATTTATATATTATTAGATTTAATTGCATCACATGTCCTTAAACTATGACTCTCATTTCATATTAGTTCTTAAGCTTTTAAATATTTCAATTTAATCCTTAAACTATGACTAATTCTAGATTATTACTTAAACTTTTGAACATTCAAATTTCATCCCCAAACTATAAATCTCATTTTAATTGGTCCCTAAACTTTCAGGTCTCTTAATTTCATCCCCAAATTCATCCAAATATGTAATCCACTTGGACCATAATTTAACCTAATTTTTTTTAAACATATAATAATATAACTTGCCTAATGATTTTATTAACAAGAGATGTGATTAGTATATATGAATAATTTAGGATAAAATTGAAATATTCAAAAAGTTTGGGGACCAATTTAGGATGAAGATCATAGATTGGGGATGAAAATGAAATGTTCAAAAGTCTGAGGACTAATTTAGAATAAGAGCCATGATTTAAGGATGAAATTGAAATGTTTAAAAGTTTAGGGATTAATTTGAAATGAGGGTCATAGATTGAGGACATATGATGCAATTTACTCATATTATTATATAAAATTAAAGTTAATTAAATTTATGTACATTTTAATATTTATTTGAAATTAAATACTAAAATTAAAAAAACTAAGGGGTTGTTTGTTTGTTTCTTAATAGAATCATTCAGCGCTGAATGCTGAACCGTTTAATATTCAGCGCGTTTGTTTCGCACATCTGAATGATTCAGCACAGAAGTACATTCTGAATAATTCATAATCATTATTAAACATAATGTCACATTTAAAGTTAATTCATACAGAATCTCTGAATCATTTAATATTTAAATCATTCAACGCTTAACTATTCTGATATAAACAAACAACCCTAAAGTTAACCTATCAACGAGATCTTAATAACAAACGTTTCTAGGAAGATTCACAGCATCAACGATTTTTCGGACAAAAAAAGTATCACCCGCCAAAGCACCTGTGATATTATCTCATAATTTTGAAAAAGACAAGGGTAAATTATTAAATATTTAATAAATTGACTGTACATTAAAGGACATTATCCCCCTTTTCAGATTTTTTTTGGGTCATTTATTAGAAGATTATGAATCAAAGGGAATTAATATAAATTAAAAAGGTATAATAATAAATATTTTGTTAATCAACAAAAAAAATATTGGAGGAGGGTATATTTGTCCTCCCATAACATTAGACGGAAAGTTCCAAGAACAGTTTTTAAAACCGAGGGTACATTCAATTCACAGTCCACGCCTACCCTCAAAAGTGACGTTTGATTCGTTATATATAATGTTTACAGGGAAATTGAAATTTGTGAAAAATTATAATTCGAAAGAATTGAAATTTGACTTTGAAATTTATTTGATTGACAGGAAATTAAATTGGAATCTAATTTTATATTCTGTTTGGTTCACAGACATATCAGATGAATTTGATTTTAGTAATATAAAATGACAGAATTATCCTTCTTCTTTTTTGCTTAATTTTAATTTGTTTTATAACTTAAATGTAACAATATATTATAAAAAAATTATTTTCGGGTATTATTATAATTATTCTTAAATATATAATGTAAAATTATTATTTTTGGGTCGGGTCGGGTATTTTTCACCCTAAATCCGAATCCGACCTGAATATCACACTTAAAAAAACTCGACCCGAACCTGATTTTTTTTTTAAAAATCCGATCGATCCTAAAATAAAAAAAAAACCCAACCCGACCCGAATATCACACTTAAAAAAACCCAACCCAATCCGGCCCTAATATCAAATTTTAAAAAACTGACCCGAACCCGATTTTTTTTTTAAAAAAAATCCGACCCGAATACCAAAAGATTGATGAGGTAATATGGTCAAATTTCACATTTCTTCCTCCAAGGGATTTAAATTCCGGATGAAATTTATGGAATTAGATTCTAATTTCCTATTTAAAAATTTGAACCAAATATGAAAAAAATGGTAAAATTAAATTCAAATTTCTCTAATTTTTCCAGTGAACCAAAAGCGAATCTTAACACACCGTACTTTTCATTTCCAATTGAATAATTTTCATTTTTTATTTTTTTTAACAATTCTCCGCGGGGTTCGTACGGAACCGATAAAACCCGATGAGTTTTATAACGCCGAGTTTTTGTAGCTTTAAAATACGCGACGACCCGTTTGTGGCTAAAAAAAGCGGGCGTCGAATCTTGAATCTTTCTTATATGTCCATATAAAACACATGACTCTGGCTGTTCCTTGTCATGTTTATCCTGGCAATGTTTGAGAAAGAGAGATAAACAGGGAAATAGATTTGTAAAAAAAATGGATTTGAGTCTGGTTTATGTTCCGAAAACTATATCTGAGTTTTTACAACGAGTTTCCAAGATCAAAGATGGGTTTCAGAGATTATCGATGATTAGTGATTATATCCAACGATTGGAAGATGAGATGAAGAAAATTGATGCCTTTAAGCGTGAACTTCCCCTTTGCATGCTTCTTCTCAAATATGGTATTTTTAAAAAAATTAATTCTGGGTTTTCCCCCTTTTCTTATTTGTGAGCTTTAATTTGATATTTTTTTGAACGGGATTACAGGGATTCAAAGATTAAAGGAGGAACAACTACAGTGTAGGGAAATGAACGATGGATCAGTGTTGCCGTTGAAGGGAAGTACTGAGGAAAATGGAAAGGAAACTGTGGAGAACGATGGCTGTGATATGAAGAACTGGATGAGTTCGGTTCAACTATGGAACTCTGATTTCAACAACGTTGATCACAAAAAGAAACCAAACGCAGTTCCAGAGCTGAAACTGGTAATTCCCAAACTATTTTTTATTTTTTATTCTTTAATCTTTTTTTTTATTTGGGGGGGGGACAGTTATAACCCTTTCTGGTTTGAGATTTGACAGAGAAGCGAAGAACAAGGAGAAGAAGATCTGTCTAAGAATCCAATTGAACTTTGTAATAAGAAAAGCAAGGGAGAGGCTTTTGTGCCATTTAAGGAATATGTTGATAAGAAAATTTCAGGACTTTACCTTATGACCCCAAGTTCTGAATTAGCTTCCTCTATCTTGAACAATGGCGGTTCTCAAATTGGTTCAGGCTCTTCTTTATATACACAACAAAACCAAATCAAGTTTCAGACGAAGTCACATAACCGACACGAGGAACAACAACATCTGCAGCAGAATTCTAGGAAACAAAGGCGGTGTTGGTCGCCTGAGCTTCATCGACGATTTGTCGAGGCACTTCAAAAGCTTGGAGGCTCACAAGGTTAGACTTTTTTGGAACTGAAAGATCCTTTTTATTGTCTTTAATGAAGAAAGAACTGGAATCTGCTTCCTTTTGAGAAAAATACCTGAATCAAATTCTTTTTTTTAGAAATGTTCTGATTGAGTTCTTTCGGGATCTTTGTGTTTTTCTAATAAATCTGATTGGTTTATGTATTTCTCTTTCACAGTGGCCACTCCTAAGCAAATTAGAGAATTGATGCAAGTTGAAGGTCTCACCAATGATGAAGTGAAAAGCCATTTGCAGGTTAGTCTTTAGCATATCAAATCTGCTCCTGTTATCATCCTTTCCGGTTACTGATTTTCTGTGTGGATTTTGGTTTTTGTGTAGAAATATAGACTTCATATTCGAAAACTTCCGGCTTCTCCATCCGGGCAAGGAAACAAGTTATGTTCAGCTCAAAACCAGTCTAATGAGCACAGTAAAGCAAGCATTTCACTGTCTGATTCCCCGCATGGTCCCCTCCTTTCAAGTGGTTCCGCTAAAGACATGTCAAGCACCGGAGGGGACAGCATGGACACCGGAGATGAAAAATCCGATGGACATAGTTGGAGAAGTGAGGTTCAAAAGTCCGGAGAGATCAGTGTATAATTAGCCAGATAACTTGTATTCCTCATGAATTTTTCAGAAACATGGGGGGAGGGGGGTGAACATTATGACTTGCTGAGAATAATTTAGTAAAACAACTAGCGGAATTACGCAGATATCATCGACTTGTTTTCAACTTCCTGCTGTGATATATGAGTCTGTTTGATGAATTGCAGGAACCAAAATGACAAATTTGTTCATGGTTAGACTTAACCCTGTTTTGTTTTACAACTGATGTACTTCATATTTATGATATTTGAGGTTTGATTCACTTGATCTCCATGTTTTTGTTAACCGTGGTTTTCTCCATCGGGAAAGATGAGTGATCTTAGCATTGTTGATGTGATTGAAAAATATTCTTGAAAGCATCTAATGACCAAAAGCAATGATGAACGCTTGGATGTTGAACCATCTGAAACCGGTGGTCTCAGTGGGGAGGGTTTCACCGCAACAATGGAAGCAGCCTCGAACCACATTTTCAATGATTCTGTTTAGGCATTCCTGTCTTGGTAATTTTACTTCTTTTCTTTTCTCTTACTTCCTCACCAAGAATCATCGATCAGGTATGGAGAAAAGAATGGTATGCATTGCTCCAACCTTTTTCCTCCAAAAAAATTCAAGGCAAAAGTGCGGATTCAAGCCTTTCAACATCATTAAATTTAGACCAATCAACTGGCCATCACCAGCTTTGCATCTGCATATGTTCTTTGTATTATTACTCTACATCATGTCATTCCGTATGTAGTTTACTTTAATCAACCAGAAGACTAAGCTTTCTTTTAGAGTCCACTAAAAGGGGAGAGAAAACCTAACACTCAACTGCAAAATTTTGGTATTTGAATTGTTCAGCATTTTTAAATTAAAAAAATAATCCATCTTTGAATAAATTTAGATATGAATGCTCAAAAAATGCAGCAATGTATGTTAAAATTGTTAAATCAACTCAAACTTTCTTAGATAAACGGTGTTGTTTGTTTAGATTATGCGTTTCTTAGTCAAATAGTGTTATGTGAGCAAACGAACCATAGTTGAAAGTAGGGCTGTAAATGAGACGAGGCAGATCACGAGCTACTCGAGATCGACTCGATCAAGGCTCGATAAATACTCGGATAGAATGGACTCGACTCGAGCTCGAGCTCGACCCGAGTTCTTAACGAGCTGAAACGAGCTACTCGATATTTAACTCGAAAAGCTCATAAGCAGCTCGAAAAAAAATGTTATATTATAATTTTAGATTTTTTAAAATTACGTTATAAAAAAATTATTGAAAATACATTATTGATAATTATAAAATTTTAAAAATATATTAAAAATTCTATAATACAACTACCCTCAATTTTTAATTTTTTTAATTAAGCAACCCAAGTCCAATTGTTACATTGTATATTACTAAAAAAATAAAAGCCCATTTAATTAAGCACATGTTAGATTACACCCTAAACCCTAAACTATAAATCCAAACCCTAAATCCTTAATCCGATTATGTGATAGGGTATTAAAAGAAAAATAAAAACAAATTTAATTAAACACATGTTAGAATATATCCTAAACCCTAAACCCTAAACCATAAATCTTCAATCCTAAGCCCTAAACCATAAATCTTCAATCCTAAGCCCTAAACCATAAACCCTTAATATGATTATGTGATAGGGATAAGTTATGCACATGAAGATAACATACAAATTATACAAAATGAAATTAATGAAATTAACAAGGGTTTATATGTAAATAAACTAATAAATCACACTTGGTCAAATCAATCAACATGTCCATTATCAAAACAAACGGTGATCAAAACATAAAATAAAAATAAATTAACAACTCAAATCATAAAAACATAAACCTTGATTAATGACGAAATCAGAAGATTACAACTATAACAGGTCCTACAATGCTAATACTTCATTTCTAAAACATGGGCTTGAATATCTGTCCACTGTCCATGTTTCTTTGGTTTTCTTTCTCTCTTCAACTCTCTGTTTTGTGTATCCTCAAGCTTTCTGCAACAAACAAGTGCATCCTACGAAAATGTAGAAAAATGTAGCCGAGGGTTCAAGACGCTCCAAAAATGGAGTACTTGGGCATCCTACGATTCGACAAATAGATTTGCGAAGGCATTTGTTCATTTGTTAGAGGGGTTTCAATTCATAGAGTTTACACCTCTCAGGGACCTTCGACACTTCAACCAAACAAGAAAGCAAAACCAAAAAGGAGATATACTAAAATTCAGTAACATTTTGTTTCAACATCGATTTTCGAAGGCAAACTTGGATTAAAGTGCATCGTTTTGGCACTGCATCCATAGGTCTTTCGTTTCTCTACAAAGGATAATTACTGATGGAAATCAAATAAGTGCAGAGTACAAAATCATAAATCGAAAACAAAGTGGAAGAAGGAAGCGATGCTCAGTGAATACGAACCAGAAAAAAATCATCTCGCGAATTAGTTATGAAACAAATCGGGCAATCGAATCTGATTCGTAACAAATCTGTCAACTCAACATTTTGAGAAAAAGTTTTCGAGGAATCGTATCTGAAAGAAAGCAAGTGTAATAGATTTATGAATTGATTCGTAACTAAATTATGACAAATCCAGGAATAAAAAATAAGAGTTCTATGCCAAGAAGGGGAGCAGAAAAAACAATAATTAAGAAACCAAACAAGACCAGGCGTTTACATTGAACCAGATTACTATCAAAACTACCAAACTTACTAGAAAACTGGAAATCAAAAAAGCTTATTAAAACCAGGGAAACTGGATTTTGGTTTATTATCAAGTTTGGAAACCAAAAAGTTTCAGTCTTTTAAACCAAACTTTAGAGCAATTCATTTTCAACCGGTTGAAATAGGAACTGAAAGAACAATCAGTTCAACCACCAGTTTGGTTTTTTATTCCTCAAGAAGCTTTGTTTTTGAAACAGAGATCAAAGATGAGAGTGAAAAGAAGCTTGGAATTTGGCAAGTGAGTTGGTCATGTGAGTTATATCCACATCGGTGGTTCATAAGGAGTAAAGTGAGTGTATAAAAGGAATGAGTTTTCAGCAAATAAAAATTATCCCGTGTAGTTTGAATCGAACTTGAATCGAGTTTCTTGAGCTTTAATTGAGCTCGAAATTTTTTTTGAGTTCGAGCATTTTCGAGTTTAAGTCGAGTTTTAAAAATATATTTTGAGTTCAAGTCGAACTTGATAATTTTTAACTTGCGAGTTTTCAAGTCGAGTCAAATTTAAATATATGATTTTCGAGTTCGAGTCGAGTTTAACAATATTTGAACTCGACTCGACTCGTTTATACCCAAAGAATATGTATACGACAAAGTCTGTGCCAAAGGATATGGTGAGGCCCACTTAAAGATTTCGATTTGAAAATTGAATTAACAACCCCAAAAATAACGTTTTTACTCAAACATCACCTAATAAAACATAAATTCCTAACATTTATTTTATATTATTTTTAATCTATCACCATTTTCTATCATGCAAGTAAATGTGTACTTTTATAAGAAGGACCTTCTGTTTTTGTGACAGCAGATGTATCTTGTTAGAAGCATTTTGTGTTTATTTACGGAGGGATGATCAAGGCAGGGCGGTCGCATCCTAAAAATATAATGTTATCATATGTTTTATATATCTTTTTATATATGTTTAAATTTTATCTAAAAAGAACAAAAATATGTCTAAAATATGTAATTGCACATAGTGATTGATTCAAAAATATTTTTCAATGTGGACATATATGTTAACAATATAAAATTTTTAAATGGGATGAGGACGAATAAAATTCCAAAGTGAACACCATAAATAAAATAAGTAACTCATCGAATAAAATTTAAATTTTAGAATGTACATATGTCCACGCTGACCAAGCTGTAACTCGGCCTCTGATTGCATAAGCATAAGTTTGGGGATAATGACGACACATGTGTTTACCCTTATATTCAATCATTCAATAAATTAAGTTTTAAATTTAATATTTAAACATTTGAAAACTCACATATCTAAACAATGTGTGATTTTAAAACCCTCATGAGCTTCTCAAAATCTTACATTATTTAGATATGTAGGTTTCAAATGTTTATACATAACACTTTAACTATATATTGATTGAGTGATTGAACATAAAGTTAATATATGTGTAATGTTACCATCGTCTCACATGACTAATACAAATATAATTACGTATCTTTGACATACACCGCACACATTTATTATTTTTCGGCAAAATTTTAAAAAATTATTTTTAAATGAAAATTTTCTAATCTTTTTTTCTAATATGTTTCTTTTCAGTTTTATATTTTATTTTTCTAAAAATAAAAAAACAATATATTAAATATATATAAACTATATTAAATACAAGAACTATAATAAAATATTATTTTTAATTTGATATGTTGGATAAAGTGAGATTGGTTCGATCTAGTTTTTTGAAATTTTGAAATCATTTATTTTAATTTAGTTCAATTCGAGTGTTTTATAGTATGTTTTACACTCTTTTGATATTATTTGATAAAGTTTAAAAAAATTCATAAAAAATCTAATTTTTAAGTAAATAAAAACAGTTAACAATCATTATATAGTATTTTAAGTTAATTTTGATGTTTGAGATATTACATACTTAGGCTGATTAGGTTTTAGCTTGGTTGACAAATTGACATGGTTACTATTTACAACGTTCACTCAAACGTGAATTCAGTGTGTTTAAGCTCATATTATTCTATAACATATCAAATTTTTAAGTAATAAATAAAAAATAGATTAAGCTCAAATAATAAAAAATTTTAAATTTATGAATTATATATGATTTGGTTTGACTTTCAATTTACTCAATTTCTTTGTTAAATCTTAATTATAAATACAATACAAAATATCATATATATTTGATATTGGGCCTCTCATCAACTATGTTGATGTTGAGAATATGTCGCAAATCTCTCATGTTTCAATTGATGAAATGTCCACCCCTGAAGGTGAATGGCGGTGGAACCTTGTTTGAGTAGTTTCTGCCCCAAGGTATTCCGTTGTGTATTGCAGCGGTGAAAGGGCCTCATTGCGAG